GGGGTGCAATTCACAGCCCTTGTGATTGGCCTCATCAAGAAGGTGACACTGGGGCTAAGACTTGAAGGAGGTGAGGCTGTGAACCATACAGCTACTGAGGGAAGGATGCTCCAGGCAGAGGGAGCGGGCAAGCCAGCGCCCTGAGGTGGGAGTGCCTGCGGTATTCACAGAACAGCAAAAAAGCTCTAGTTCTGAGGTTAAGTGACTAAGAGCAGCTGTAGGAGATGAGGTCAGAGAGGCTGGGTGCCCTATGGGCCTTGGAAGGACTAGTCTTAGTAAAATGAGGAACAACTGGAGGTCTTTGAGCAGAAGAGTGATGCAATCAAATATTTAAACAGATCACTCTGGCTGCCTGTGAAGAATAGGCTGACAACGCAAGAGCACATGCAGGGCAACAGGTTGGGAGACGACTGGCAACATTTAGGCTTGAGGTTATTCTAGTGGCGGAGACCAGAGTGAAAACAACAGAGGTGGTGGGAAGATAACCAGACGCCGGATATATGTTAAGTTAGAGCCACCAGAATTGGATGTATGAGTTTTGAAACAGAGAGGATTCGAAGATGAATTCAGGGTTTTGGTGAGGGCTAACACCTAGGAGAATGGAGGGGAGGGCAACGCCTTCAGGTGAATCCGATCGGGGATGGGGTCGGGGAGCTCAGAAGTTCAGTTTTCTACACTGGAAGCTTGAAACCTTCCAAGTGGAGATTCATGTTGCCAGCTGGATATGTAAGTACCAAAGCAGAGGTGAGCACAGGATTCTATGGGAACGTGTAGGAAGGGCACCCATATGAGGCTTCCTGAGGAAATGACAAACACTGCCTCTCGAAAGGAGGCTGGTGTGATCCAGAAGGCTTCAGCGAGTGAAACGGGCATCGAACAATAGAAAAAAACTGGCTACAGAGAGAGTAGGAAGAGAATTCCAGACATAGGAAATATCTAAGCAAGATCCTTGGAACAGGAAAAAGCATGGTGAGTTTGTGAGAGTATGCAGAGCCCTGCCTGGGGTGAGGAGTTCTTACTGGAAACACTGGAGCATAAACATGGACCAGATTTGGGGGCACCTTGAAGACTAGGCTCCTTGTCTAGAAAATCAGCCCTGGCCCACTGATCAGCTTCGGGTTCCCTCCCCAACCAGTGTTCCCATTTCCATCTCAGCACCGTCCCAGGGTATCCTAAGAGTCTGTTTACTTTTCTCTTGGCCTCCCTAGATTGTAGTTCCTTGAGAGCAAAGACCTTATATGTTGATTTTTATCTACCGCAATGATTCATTAGTGGAATTTTAATGTTTTTTCAAAGAGTGAATTGTATTTGATACACACACCTCCTTATCATAGTTTCATTTCAATGCCTAGGGGGGATTTTTAATTAAAAGAGAAATCCTTGTCTTTATTGGATAGGGGAAAGGTCCATTACAATTAGACTACCTTGTAAGAGGTAGCAGACTAGAAAGATTTCAGAAAACAGGATTTTTCAAAACAGCAACTATCAACTGGAAACTTGAAGTAAAGAACACAGGTCAGGTTGTTATGAATTAATTAAAGAGAGGGAAACGGTGGTGGATTTGCAGTAAGGGCATTTGTCTACACTACTTGCATACCTTATAAGGATGAAAGAACTAACGCGCTAACTGTACCTGATAACAAGAACTTTGGCATCTGGTACTCATCCCTTCAGAGACCTGTCAGAAGGGCCCTGGGCTCAGCCTGCCCAAAAGAGACCCGGACAGCTATCTTTTGCAGGGGAGGAGATTCAATGTCAAGTTCAATCTCCAGCCCTGGCGAAAAGAGTAGGATGCACTATCACATGTGCCTTAAACCAGCCAGTTACCACGATCTAGGGGTTGGCCACCAGGACCCAATCGCGGCTCTGCTCAACACGCGCTAAGGGGAAATGGCTGCTGCTTGAGCCACCAACTGGGTATGCTGGAATGTCACAAAGAACTCTCCAGGGGCAGGGAACAGAAGCACTAATTCATCTAAAAATATTACTGCGTTAATTACTGTCCTAGCCCTGCTTCTAGCCCTGACTCTTCTGACTTAAAAATACTATCACTTGTTATCCTTGAAATGACAGGATTGCTTTGTTCATTTAGGAGAAAGTATCTGCTAAAACCCCAAATCTGAATATCCGTGGTTTGCCTTTCAGTTGTTCTTTCACCAAAAAAGGGTGTTCCATGTAAAAAGAAGCTAGTTCAGTTCACAAATCAAACGATGACACAGGGCATTTCTTCAAGACAACCAGTATGCCTCAGTGCCCAGCAGAAATACTTCACCTGTACTGCCCATTTCTCACACAGAACATTAAAACCATTTGTATTCAAGGGTCGAGACTTAATAAAGTTACTGGTTTTTACTACTTTACCAAGGATACCCTTAAGTGGAACTGACACACATTTTTCTCCTGGGGCTGGCAATGTGGAAGACCATGAGTTCTAGTACAATTTGGTGCCACTCTCTTGATTCCTGTTGCATCATTGGTGCAAACAGCAACACGGTGAAAGAGGCAAATAATCTTAATACGATTATGAAAATAATTTTGACCTTGTGGTCCCCCTAAAAGGGTCTCAAGGATCCCTGCAGCATGGCAGACCACAATTTAAGAACTGCTGCTGTCTACAAATCCTTGAAATTCTTGGGTCAAAGGCTATAAATATTTTAAGGTGCCTGGTACACATTAGAAATTGCCTTTCAGACATGATCCACCAATTGGCATTTCCCTCTGTAAGGTATGGAAGTCCATTTTATCAGGCTAACCCTCTATGGAATTAAAGCTCCTATGTCCTCTTTACAGGTAAGATAAAGAGTCCAAATTTTAACTCATAGCTCTGTGTGTCTGAGGGGAAAGAGTAATTTCTCTTCAATTTCTGTTACTTCTCCCAACTCAGCTATCTCAACCATGGAATACGTTGCTCACGTGAACTCCAAACCATCTTCCAAAACAATATCTGTTACAACAGATCCATGAGTTTAGAGAAGAAAATAATGATAAAAAAATAAGTGCATGGCCCATTACTTTCCCTTCTCTGTGCTCCAAGAAAACGCTTTTTTTCAGTAATTCACTACACAGAGACTAGTCATCAGTTGTGTTTCAGCTCCTTTGATCTGAAATGTGATTTTTAGGCATGTGTTCATTAAAATAAAATTGAAGGCTAAAAGAGTTAACATATAATCCTCAGAATGGAAGAGAACCTAAGATAGCCCCTAATTAACTGACTGATTACATGCAGTTTGACATATAATTCTCTCCAGATAAGATCATCTTAATCAAAAATTCTCCAAAAGACAAGATTCTGTAGTTTCAAGGATTTTACAGTATATTGAACATCATTATTACTTGTGATAAATTTAATAAAATAAGATTTATCCTGGACCCAGATCAAAAGGATTTGGTTTCCCAAGGTTCCGCGTCACAATGTACACTGCATCACACAAAACAGCCCACAAGAGTTGTGCCTCAAAGGCTCAGTGGTTGGCAGAAAACTCCAGAGAACATTTAATTGGTCCCCAACATGAAGAATACCCAGAACTATGTCTAGACACCCAATACATGTTTGTGTTCCTTTCCAAAACCTGGCTTACTATCTGTAATTCTAGCTCATTAGAAAAGGACATATGTTGCAGAAGGAAAATACTTTTTCAAAAAAAGGATTTAAACCTCATTAAAAAGCACAGATATTATTTGTGTTTTTAAATGTAACTAGGTATGTCTCCAGGACTATTAATATTATAAATGTAGCCTTGTGGTTAGGATTTACTAAACCAACACATCAATTAACTCTAGTTGTTCATACAGTTTAAAAATCTATCTTCACACTGATAAAAATGGCATTTGAAATTGGAATAAAGCACCTAAAGAAATACTGTATTGTCAATGACAAAGAATTCTGTGCAACTGATTTTTAAATCAGTTATTGGAGGAAAACTAAATTCAGTTCAGCACAAGTTCCATTGATTCTCAAGAAAAATTATGTGTATAACAAATAACTCTTCTGAGAGTCAAAGAAGCCTTTTAAGTTAACTAAGCTTTTTAGTGCACTTTGGGCCTTCTTAACCAATACTAAAATTATAGAAGAAAGCTGGTCTTTTAAATCAGAATTTCTGAGATATCAGTAATTGTCCTAAGTGTGATAAAAAACAGTGATGACTGAACAAGTAAGGGTCAACCTAGAGTATTTTCTTTGCCCGATTGAGTGTTTTAAAAGGTCATGCCCATGTCTAAGAAGAGTTTACTTGAATTTATTCATTCACTGAATAAGAATTTGCTAATTTCATTTGCTAGGTTTTATGTACAAAACCCAGTTAGACGTGGACTCTAATCCTTCATTTATTCATTCACCAAACATTTATGGAGGTCTTATTATGTGTCAGACCCCGTTCTAAGCACAAGAATATGTGGGAGGGCAAGACAGATCAGGCCCCTCCTCTTCTGGAATCTGCAGTCTATTGGGTGGTGGGGAGAAGAGGGTTAATAAATGATAAAAAAGTAAACAAGTGAGTAAAAAAGACCATTTCAGACAGTGATTAATGCTATCAAGAAGGTAAAACCAGAGGACGTGATAGAATAATGGTTGGTGCGGGAAGGCTGAGGAGCTTACACCTAAATGACACAGAGAAGAAGGTCATTCAAAGATCTGGGACAGCAATTTCTAGGCAGAGGACACAGCAAGTGCAAAGGTCTTTAGGAGAGTTTTTTAAAAATCGGATTGGGAAGACAGGCAAGTGGAAGCTTTCTCCTTCCTGCAACTCTGCACCTCACCTCCTCCAGGTGCGCCCCACGCCATGTCAGAACCTGACTCTCATCTCTAGACCTAGAAATCGACCCACCAGATCAGGACACTGTCAGGGTTTCGTACACCTACAGCAAGTCACAGACTTCATTTTATCTACACAGATGCATTGAGGAATTGTTATAGTTTGCACGGAAGCATTATAAAATCCAACTATATATAAACCACTGTTTATAACTGAGGAAAAGAAGCTCAGGCACGTAAGTGCAAATACCTGGGATCCTGGTGCTATTCATCTCAATGAGAGACACCGCCTTTACTTCACTCTTGGGCTGAAACATGACTGCTGTAGATCTACTTGGGTGTTGTTAGCAGGTTGAGAGCCGTGACCTATAGAGGAAAACAGTGCATTAAGAAAAGCTGACGCCTCAGAGACAGATATCCAGAGTTAATGGGAAATGGTGGTCTCCATATTGTTGACAGAGCATCTCAAATTCTCAGGCCACTCATCAGTGCAGTTATTTATCTTCTTCTCCAAGTCAAAGGAAGAAACACGTCAGGCTCAAAAGCCCTAACGGGAACAGAAAACAAAAGAGGAGACAGAGTAATTTGTAAGATATTTTTGTTTGTTTGTTTGTTTTTGTATGCGGGCCTCTCACTGTTGTGGCCTCTCCCGTTGCGGAGCACAGGCTCTGGACGCGCAGGCTCAGCGGCCATGGCTCACAGGCCCAGCCGCTCCGCGGCATGTGGGATCTTCCCGGACCGGGGAACGAACCCGTATCCCCTACATTAGCAGGCGGACTCTCAACCACTGTGCCACCAGGGAAGCCCCAAGAAGCAGTTTTGAGTTTTGCTTTGGTTTTCATTAAGAGGACTGTTTCAGTGATACTATCAAAATCAGACATATTTCAATATGACTGACACATAATATATATGTTTTGAATAGGCAATCCATTCACATTGCATATAAATCAAACAATATAAAGGGGTATTCATCAAATGTTTCTACTTCATTCCTATCCTTCATTTCCACAAGGGTAACTTCTTTTCTTAGTTTCTTGTGTCTTTGTTTTTTGTGTAACAGAAATAGAAGTATATATTCTTATTTTCCCCTTTTTATTCAAATATTCCATACTGTATACAGTATTACCCATCTTGCCTTATTATTTAAACAATATGTCTTGAGGATTTCAACATATCATTTCATAGAAAGGACATCTTTCCATATCAGCACATAGAAAACTTTCTTTTTATTTGCTTTTTACATGTTCAGAGTATTCTATTATACGGATGTACCACAGTTTGCTAAACACAGTTCTTTATTAGTGAATATTTGGTTTAATTCCAATCTTTTGCTATTACAACCAATGCAGCAAGGAACAAGTTTGTACATACAGTATTCTGCACATGTACAATTATATCTGCAAGATAAATTCCCAGAAGTTGGATTTTTGTATAAATTAAAAATTATCCACTTGTAATTTGGGTAAATATTCAGAAATATCCCTCCATGGGGGATGCACTACAATATCCACTATCATCACTGATTATCAGAACACCTATTATCCAAGGCCTTGCCAAGGCCAGAATGTATTTTCAACCTTTTGGATTTTTGACAGACTGAAAAATGTTGTCTCAGTGAAATATTAATTTGTTTTCTCTATGACTGAGGTGGAGCATCTTTTCATATGTTTAAGTGGAATTTGTCTTTCCTTTCCTGTTAATTTTCTGTTCATAGCCTTTTCCCATTTCCTCTATTATGTTGGTGGTTTTATCAATTTACATTAGGGAGATTAGCTCTTTGTCATATGAATTGCAAATATTTCCCATAGTTTTCTTTCAGTTATCTTTTGATTTTACTTGCAGGATTTTTTGCTTTGTTTTGGTTTTGCTAGATAAGAGCATTTTTAAAATTATAGTATTTATCAATTTTGTGTGGTTTCTGGATTTTCTCCTAAAATTTCAGGGCTTATTTTGCATTTACATTTTTGCAGCTTATCCTACTGCACAGTGTGGGTTTCTGCTGTTGTTTTCCTAGAAGGCTGTCTGGTTCCAACACAATTTATGGACACATTAATTTCCACCCTTCTGATTATACTTGCCACTTCATCATACGCCATATATACTTGGGTCTCTTCATGCATAAATACCACACCGTTTTAACTACTGAGCCTTAAAAATGTTTTAATATCCAGTAGATTTAGCTCCTTTGAGAAATTCTACTCGATATAAATGTATAGGCTATGAAAAGAAATAGATCTGATTCTCCGAAGCTGACTGTATGATTTCTTGGTTCAGAAGCCACGTGGCCTCCCTGAGAGCAGCCTCCTTCACTCCGCTTCTACTCTCTGCACACCTGCCCCACCTCTCCCCATCAGATTTACCCTTAAAGCTGCTGTTTGTGGGCACAAAGAACTGTTTTCTCCTCCGTTCTCTGTGCTTTTATTTGTAAGATGGTAAATGCAGTGCTTTTGAAAGCTTTCAGATGTGCGAGGACTTACACCTGCCCTCCAGGCTGTTGGATCTAGATCCTAAAAGTTGTCCTGGGGAGCAGATAATCATTAACTTTTTATAGATGGATTAGAGAAATGTAGGCTCCCAAGAATATATTTTGGAGATAGAGACATACGTCAAGCGAGTCAGGCAGAAAGGAAAACGGGGTCGGGTCGGAATTAGAGAAAAGAAAATGAACTGGAAAAAAAAGTGCTTTTCAGGCTCCAGAGCTTGCTGGACTTGGAATCCCAGAGCAGCGCCACCCAGTGACCGCCGTGTCCCGACCTGACACCTGCAGAGACAGGAGGGAACGGGCCGCCTCTCCGCCCTTCCGGAGCCGGGGAGTCAGAGACAGAGACACAGACGGAGACAGAGAGGTCGAACCTGAAAGAAGCACTCTTAACAGTTCTCACCGGTCCTGGGGCAGCTCCAGGGCCTCGGGGGCCGCGTTTCGCCGGAAGCCACGGAGGGAGCAGCGCCCACGTCCCGCGCGCGCAGGGAGCGGGGCCGAGGAGGGCGGGGCGCAGGCGCGGTCCGGGTGGGAAGGCGGTGCCCCCGGGTCCCACCCCCCGCGCCCTCCCGCCGCTCTGCCGCCCAGGGCCGCCCCTCGCGCGCGCGCGCACACACACACACATACACACTCCTCTCACACCCCCCCCCACACCTCTCACACCCTCACACTCCCTCGCACACTCGTTCTCCCCCTCGCACAGACGCCCCGTCATACACTCACACGCTGCCCCCCACACACTCGCCCCTTCACAGACTCGCCCCCTCGCGCACTCACTCATCACTCCTTCAGTGTCCTCGTTCTCACTCGCTCTCACCCACTCTCCCTTCTCTCTTCCAAGTCTTTCCCGCTTTGCTCAGAATGATAGCCCTTTGCGGGGAGCAATGAGAAGAAGCCTGCCTGACCCCAGGGCTGAGCGCAGCTCTGTCCGGGCTCTGTCCTTACCCAAGAAAAACAGAGCCACGTGTTCCCTGCACCTCAGCCAACACTGTGGGCCCCGAAAGAAGCAGCTGTGCGTCCAGGAAGGCTCAGCCCCCGAAGGGCCCTCACTGTGCATCACCCGCTCCCACCCTTGTTAGCAAAGGGGACACGGCGTTCTCTGTGGTTCACACCACACTGGGTCCTGGGGGTACAAGCAGGGAATGACAAAGTGCTACCCTCAGAGAAAGTGATGGTTTGGTGGGGATGGGAATAGGTAAACCAGTAATTAAGACAAAACACATGTTTCAAATTATTTCTAATTTTAAAATCGTATTTTAAAAGCACACACATACTATGAGACGTGCCATGAAAGCTGTGGAAATACTGTGAAGATTTAGAAAAGCAAACGACCACACGTGCTGGGGGTCTCAGTGGAGGTTTTGTGATAAGGAGGATTGACGGGGACTTGGTGAATCAGGAGGAATTTTCACGGAAACCCTGAGCTGGCATCTGCCCGGGGTTGTAAGAATCAATTACTGGTGGGGATGGTGCTGAGAGGCGATCGTGGTATCGTGATGAGTGGAACTTACTTGTGCAAAGCCCAAGTGTCCTCAGGGATAGTGGTGTCCCAATTCCTCCAGCACCGCCAGGCTGTGTGGCTCCGGGGCCAGCCGAACCCTCTGTGCGAGGAACCCTGGGGCCAGAGTGGCCAAGACTGGGCCACACAAAAGGGGGTGCAGAACTAAGGCTCAGACCTGGGTTTGAGTTATTGTTCAGAGGGCCTTGAATGTCACTGAAGGAGTTAAGACCTAGTTTAGGAAGTTTGAAATTTCCCTAGGCTTTTCTAGACCTTTCTGTCAGAATTATATATAGTCTCTAAATTGCAACTCTTTATTCTCCTTTAATTGTACCTTTTTTTATTCCCCACTTATAACAGATACCTATTACTTCCTCTTTGGTTTTTGCCCTTCTGGTTTACATTCAGAAGTTTTTGTGTATTTTTGGAATTAATATTTTGATTTAGTTTGTGTGTAAATAAGGCCTTGATGCTTCAAGGCTATGACAAACAATTTGTCATTTTGCTGTGGCCCTTGAATTCGGGGTACTGCAAGTCTGGCAGTGTGGCGTGTCACTTAACCATGAGCAGGCTGGCTCAGCCCAGGATCGACTTCTCAACCCCTTTGAGTTCTGTTTGAAACTCCTGGTCAAAGATTTAATTTTATGGGGCAAATTACATGCTACAGCAACATTCACAGAATGCAAAGGATATACAGTTAACCCTTGAACAGCACAGGTTTGAATTACAAGGGACCACTTATTCTCGGCTTTTTTTCAATAGTAAATACTAAACTGCTACAGGACTGGAGTTGGTTGAACCCCCAAATTCAGAACTGCCCATCTGGAGGAACCTCGCATATGGAGGGCAAACTACAAATTATACCAGATTTTCTACTGCGTGGAAGGTTGACGCCCCTAACCCTCGCATTGTTCAAGGGTCAACTGTACTCCATTAATATTGCAATAGAATTGCTTTTGGCTACTCATAGCTAATATGTCTCCTTGATCACAAATACATACTTGGAGGGAGTGATTAATGATGCCAGTAATGTAACTGCCATTCTGAACATGGAACTTACTGGAAACTTAATTTCTAATTTTGAATAACTGATTAGTAACTTAACCCTGGGGGGACCTAGTCAATCAGCAAACACTGAGCGTTCTGTGCTAGGCCACCAGAAAATAATAATAATATAACATAATGTAAAATGAGAGAGTGCAGGGAAGAAAAAGAAATAAATCTGCGTTTCTGCCCCAAAGTGGCTCGCAGTTTTGTAGGGATGATAGATATATAAACTGATACAAAGAAGAGTGAGAAGTATGAAAATAAGGGTGTGCCCAAGATGCTATGGAGTTCTGAGAAAGAAATGCCTAACCTGGGAGTTCATGCAATAAGGCAAAAAAGGCCCCGTGACTGAAATGGGATCTGCAGGGGACTTTACACAATAAATAGGTTATAAAAGGCAATGAAGAGGCTTCCTTGGTGGCACAGTGGTTGAGAGTCCGCCTGTCGATGCAGGGGACACGGGTTCGTGCCCCGGTCCAGGAAGATCCCACATGCCACGGAGCGGCTGGGCCCATGAGCCGTGGCCGCTGAGCCTGCGCGTCTGGAGCCTGTGCTCCGCAACGGGAGAGGCCACAACAGTGAGAGGCCCGCGTACCACACACACACACACACACAAAAAAAGGCAATGAAGAAAAACAGGGTACTCAAGCTTCATCTGGAATTTATCAGAAAACTTATTTTTCATATTTTCCATTCTTTTTCTTTTCTCCTGGGATATTTTTATGACATGAAATGGAGAACAGAATTGAGACTTTTTTTTAATTGTAGTTGATTTACTGTTAGTTTCAAGAATGAGACATCTTTAACAAACAAAGATGTTATTGTGAACTTCCAGGTCTCAAATTGTTTTTCGAGAGATGGAGCAATGGCCTCCTCCTTGGCTGGGGCGGTGGATGGGGTCTGAGGTTTCAAGATTGATGTATGGAACCAGCTCCTACCTTTACCATCGCTGTCACCAGCCCACAGTCAACTGAGAAAAGCTGTGGGAGAAAGAAGCTATGGAGGAAAAGAAAGCAACACCATCATTAAGGTGCTGAGAGTTGATCTGATTAAACTGAGCCTGTCTGTGCAGGAAAACAGGCAGTCGGAAGAGGGTCAAACACAGCTCCCCCTCACAGCACCTGCCTCTGCTTTAGTTCTCCCAGCCGGGGTCAATTGGCCTGCTTACCAGGCATGGGGTTTAACTTATTTTCTATACCCCGCGGGCTTATTTGCTCTGTGGCATGTGGGAGCTTCCCGCACCAGGGATCAAACCGTGTTCCCTGCATTGGCAGGCGGATTCCTAACCCCTGCGCCACCAGGGAAGTCCCTCCTAGGAGATTCTTAATTGTCTTTCAAATGGTGATGGCTAAGTCATTCCACGGTGTAGACCTCTATTCAAAGTCATCAGAATGATCAGTTGCTCATCAGGAATGTCTGGACCCCTGTGCACAGGAAGGCAGAGCTGCTGGAACGCCAGCAGAGCTACAGAATTCCAGGAACTGGAGGACTCAGCTCTCACAGAGCCGTCCATGGCTGCCAGTACACGGTCCATGCTGTTTGCTCTCCAGATATGCAAAGCGTTTCCAACAAGTGGCCACCAATCTTCATCCTCAAAGTGATGAAGCACACGAATTGTCATTAAGAAGGGGACAGACTAGCAGCCCCAAGATGGCGCACAAGATGATCCACCTGCTCAGCCATAAAAAGAAACAAAATTGAGTTATTTGTAGTGAGGTGGATGGACCTAGAGTCTGTCATACGGAGTGAAGTCAGTCAGAAAGAGAAAAACAAATACCGTATGCTAACACATATATATGGAATGTAAAAAAAAGCGTTCTGAAGAACCTTGGGGCAGGACAGGAATAAAGATGCAGACATAGAGAATGGACTTGAGGACACGGGGAGGGGGAAGGATAAGCTGGGACGAAGTGAGAGAGTGGCATGGACATATATACACTGCCAAACGTAAAATAGCTAGTGGGAAGCAGTTGCATAGCACAGGGAGATCAGTTCGGTGCTCTGTGACCACCTAGAGGGGTGGGATAGGGAGGGTGGGAGGGAGACGCAAGAGGGAGGAGATATGGGGATATATGTATATGTATAGCTGATTCACTTTGTTATAAAGCAGAAACTAACACAAAATTGTAAAGCAATTATACTCCAATAAAGATGTTAAAAAAAAAAAAAGATGATCCACTGATGTACAGGAAGAAAAATTTCTATTTTCTAACTTCGTAGATTTTATCCACGCATTCAATTTATACATAAGTATACGTTATCAAAAAGTTTGGAGACCCCTGAGCTAGACCCCGACGAGTACAAAAAAGCCTGGTCAATCCCTTAACCTACTTCCTTGTTCCAGAGACTGGCTCCTCTGCCCTGAGAGACATTTGATGGCAGCTGGGAGCTCTTAGAGGGTCTCTGGACTTGGTAGAAGAAAAGTAAAAGAAGTTATGAAGAGCCTGGCGTATTCGACGTGGAGTCCGACATCACATCCAGAGCCAACTGGCCTTCTGTTTATCCCTTCAGTCAAAACGTCTTATCCCTCAGTACAGAGAGTTTTACTTTGCTTCGGTACACTGCCCGCAATCCTAACAAGTTGTGATGTGTTTGTTCTATGGAAAGGAAACAGCTGCTTGGGACAGAATCTCACTGTCCTCTCAACCAGAAGGTTTGGAATGGAGCCTGGCTCTGTTTCTGGCCTTATCACTTGAGGAAAACCCTTGCTTTCCCCACATTCAATTTCTTCTCCCATAAAAATGAGGTATTGCTAATCTCAACTTCATAGGATTATTTCTGTGTTTTTTTAAGTGTAAAATTTTTACCTGATATCTCTCAAACTACAGAAGTACTGCATGCTTAGTTTACATAACGAAACAAGTGCTAACAAAACGGTATGAAGGCAAAGCTGATTTTCTCCCTTTCCCCCTCATGCCCTCCCTCCTGATACAGGCAAAACACGCAGCCCCAATGTACACCCTTCCACCTCTTTCTCCTTGCTCATACGAACATAAATAAATAAAGAGGATTTTTTTGTATTAAAATTTATG